GGAAACTTTTTTATTTGTAATTATGTTATCATTATATGATGGTGGCCAAAGCCTTACTTAATGGGCCGAAATTGCCAAAATTACAGTAATTGGCCTAAACTTTGACAAAACTAATCTTAATGGCTGGAATTGGGTGAAATTATTTTAAATAAAGTAGATTGATTTAAATACTTCTTATATGTATTGGGTGAAACTAACTTTTTTTCAAAAATAGTTTCGGCCACCATTGCTAAATCATATCCTTTATGATTATATAGTCAAGCCGACGATGATTAGATTCGTGTCATAGCGGATTTTAAATAAAGTTTTCTTATGTGTCCTGTTCATCCGCTGTGACAAGGTTTGACTGTACCAGAAATCCGTTATATTGAGAAGAATTTTATTATTATTATTAAACTTCGATCCATTAGTATTGATTAAGTTGAGGTACACTATATTGAGATTCACTGCGTTAATTTGACATTAAAAAAAATTTAGGAACCTGATTTGATTTGAATCATTCTATAATGCCTTATTTAATTTTAATAAACAGAGTGCAAAAATTAGGACACCAAGAACTGTAAAATAGTTTCTAGCCTAAAACTTTGAATGACTTAGTTCAAACTGAACTGAACCAAAATTTTTCAGTTTGAACTGAACTGTTCAGAACTTTAGTCAGTATTTACTTGTCTAAAGTTTTTCACAGCACCATTCTTGAAATTGTAATATTCTTCAACTTTGAATCATTTCTGCAATGTTTTGTTGTTTTGTAACGAGAATAAGGAACCACAAGCAGATACAAGTCATAATATTTCAGATAATAACTATATTATTTTAGGGCTCTATTCAAACAATTCATGATTAATTTCAAAGTGAATACATTGAAATGATTAATGATTCAAATAAAATGAATAATTCTCATCTATATTGAAAATTATTTGAAATTTTCCTTGTAAGCAATGTGGTGATTCTAACTAAGCTGTAAAAGATGTCATGGAGTCATTATTTGAATATTAGAGTTTATTGTGAACTGTGCAAATATTCAACTGAGTTTACCAATGAACCAGATTGTACAAGTTATTCCAGAACTTTGACTGCTACAGGGTTAATAGCTTGATTAAACAGAAGAGAGTTGGGAACTAGACTATTTTTTTCCAATTAAAATATGGTGTGAAATAGTAACAGGATCCTTTACCAGAATTATTGTGCAGCATCATTTAATGTTTGTAAAATTCTAAGTTTATTGTTAATATTAATATCTCTTTATCTCTGATCTTTTTTATTCAAATGATTAAGTAACATCAAGAGTATTTTTGCTATTACTAATTAGCTTGCTTTTATTTTAATTCTTTCAGATTCTATTGTATTAATTATTTCATCAAATTTTTGATAGGTAAAGGCTTGTCAGTAATCAAACCTTTAGTCAAAAGAGCAAAAAGATTGATAGATTTTTTCCTCCGCCCTAAGCAAAGTGAACGTTTGATAAATATTCAAATGCAAATGAAAAGACATTCTGATGTGGTAATTTGATATATGGGGTATGCTGCAACAAAACCAGACAAAGTGAACATTATATTGCACACATTACAGGGATCAAAATTTAGTGTAATTGTGATAATATTAATATTAATATATTTTTTTAATTATAACCCTAACTTAATAAGCTTTTTTTGTTACACACTGAATTATATTAATATTAAAAAAAAGAAAATCCAATAAAAATTAAAAAAAAACATCATCAACTCATCAACCCCTTAACCACGAATATTTAGTACTAATTCAATATCTTCTTTTGACAGTGTTGCTCGCTTAGCATGAATTGTACATAGTCGACTGATGATGATAATGGGGAAGAAGTTTTTTTTATTAATAGTAATATTGTTAATAGAATAAATAGAATCATTATCTTTTTACAGATTGAAAATTATTAAATCAACTTACGCATCCTGAAACAACTCAATTAAATATGTCTCAGCAGCTAATTAAAAAAAAATATAATATTATACACACACATATAAATTCACAAATTCATACATGTAGGATTCAATCAAAAAATAAATCAATTAATTACCTTCTTGAAGTGCTGTAATGGCTGTGGATTCAAACTCAAATCCCATATTAGAATGTTGTTGAAATATGTTTGTGGCAATTTCTTCAACCTATACATATATATACATAATGATTAATTGACTAGTATTTGTATATTAAATGATTATTAATAATGTAATAATAATCTTCTGATCACTAACTACTCTAGAAAAAGGTATTCTTCTTAGAAGAAGATTTGTTGTTCTTTGATGTCGTCTGATTTCATTTAAAGCTATATTATACGGCCTGTACCTTGGTGGTTTTGTGTAAAAGCCTGTTTTTTATTTTAAAATAATGTATAGAATATCATTTAGTCACTTTTACAAATTGATATGCAAATAATTATTTAAGCAAATTCAATTGGTTGAATTTTATACACATCTTTAAAAATCAGCACTTACATCTGGTATTTGTTGATTCATTTAAATTATTTGTCAGGTCCATTAGATCATCACCATCATTGCTATCATTATCATCCTTTGTAGACATAATGATACTGGTGGTACTTACAATTTCTTGTCTTTCCTCTTCATCTTTTTCTACTATATTCTCCAAAACAACAACATCATCAATACTATCTTCTTGGTTTATTTTCCCTTCATTGTCATCCTCTTCCTCTGATATCTGCAGATCCTGTAATATTGATGCAAATATTAATATTACAATTTTCTAAAATATAAATAATAATTAATAAACAAGAATAACTAAAAAATACCTCTATATTATTGTTATATAATGTACTGTCATTGTACATTTCTAGCTGTAGTTGATCCAATTCTCTTGTTATTTTGTCTATTGTGAATTGGTATTTTTCAACTACATTATTTAAATGGGCTATATCTTGAGATTCATCAATTGTTTCCGATATGGCTTTTAGTGCATATTTGAAACAACGCTAATTTTTGTTCCAAAAAAATATAATTATTAGATCCTGACAAATTTACATACTCAACCAGTGTTGGAAATTCAATTGTGTCAGTTATACAAATTTGTTAACTTTTTTGCTAAGATAGTTTGCAAATTTGATTAGTGCACATACCCTGCACATCTGAATTTCCAACACTGTATTTCAATGAGAATTATGAGAATGGAATTTACTTACTAAATAAGGTGATGGTGATGGTTGAAAGATATAATAACCATTGTTATTGCTATAACTATTATTATCACCATTGTCACTACCACCACTGCTACTGCCATTTTCAGTGTTTCTGCTGCTACTGCCATTGCTAATACAATTATTATCCATAGTAGTGACATTACCATTATAATCTATAGTAATACTAGTGTTATTAAAATTATTTATAATATTATTAGTTCTAGCGATATTATTAATTAAACTTTGATTAATATTAATGGCTTTAGCATCAGCAGCCTTTTCAATTTCAGTAGCCGTTGTTTGAATATCTTTAACATTGCTATCTTCCTTTCCATCATCGTCACCATCACTATTTTGTGTTAGATTGATAAAATTTAATTCATTCTCTATATTTGAATTATTTTTATTCATAATGCCACAACTGCCATTATTGTTGCTGCTACTAACACCTTCCATATCATCATCTTCATTATCTTTTCTTTTGGTGTTAAACAAAAATGAAATTAAAAAACAATATTAGTTACAGAGAATATAATTCATTTACACTATATAATAACAAGTTGAACACAGACTTTCCATCCAAACTTAACGTTAAACTAGAGTAACGACGAGTGGCGGGCGATAACCACCACCACCATCCTTATTCTTAAAACACTTACTCATGTTGTTCTTTGTCTGCTTCTCTTCTTCTTCTTCTTTTGTTTTGATTATACATTATTATATTTTTTAAAAGAAATTTTTTAGTTTTTATCTTTTCATCATACATATTGTTCAATAATTATATTTATTAGCGATTTAGAAAATGAATAATAATAAAATTATATTATAAAATTTACAAAATTTATTTCAATTGATGAAAAATACAGAGAGAAAGAGAAAGGAAGAAGTATATATGAAACAAACATTTTTTACACGCAGAAAAAAATGCATAGCAATAATAATAATAATATATAATATATACGACGACGACAACAATTATTATTATTATCATCATTAAAGTTTTAAAAAAATTCCAAAACTCTTTACAACAACGACCAACCATTAGTATTACTACACTGCTACAATTATCATTGATTTAATTATTATTAAATATTATAATTGTTTCTATTTGCAAATAATAAATTAATCAACCAATTAATCAACCAATCAACCAATCAATCAATCAATCAATCAATCAATCAATTTATTTTACCTCCCCCCTTTTAACCAACATCTAGTTGATTAATTAGTTAAATGAATTGATAAATTGATTTACGTTTTAAATCCTCTTTGTTGTTGATGATACAATCGATAACCTAAAAATGCGGCACCCATTATAGCACCCATTAAAGCTGTGAATGTTAAATATTTCTTGATAATACGAGATGAGGCATGTGCCGAATCTGCTAATCCTGGTGTAGCAATTGTTGGATTTATTGCCACTCCTGCTAATAAATTCCATAAATCTGCTACTTGATAATGTTTCTTTACTGAAACATTGATTGGTGGCGCCAGTCCAAGACTACGACAATAAACGTCTGGTTGAATCTCGTTTCGCTTTTTTGTTGTTTGTTGTATGTTATTTATAAGAGAATTTTTATGATATAAATAATATATACATATATGTGTGTATATTTAAGTTATGTATGTTATATTTATTACCTGTTGAACTAATTCAACGTCACTTTTTGTTGCAACAAATACTGTAGGAAAATGATCTAAATCCAATCTTTTCTATATATAATATAGATATATGTAAATATTAATATATGTTATAAGTACTATTTAATTAATGTGAATCCGCCACTTACTCTCAATTCAACAATATATGAAAATGAATCAGCGTCATTTGAATCATAAACAAAACATAGTAAATCACAATTATCTAATTTACGTTTATTTTGTAGTATTTCTGCTTCATATCTTGATCCAAATTCTTGCAGCTATTAAAAAAAATATATTTTTAACTTTGTATAAATAAATAAATAAATATATATATATATATATATATATATTATATCAAACATTTTATTTTCAATATCAACACGCTTGCTAAATATATTTATATATTACCACTAAATATTTTTCTGATCCTTTGATTTCAACTGAATTTACAACATTGAAAGTTCTTGTGGTAGATGAATGTTCTTGCACGAATTCTTTATTTACAAAAGCTCTCAATAGTGATGTCTATCAAGAAAGAATATTGAAATAGATAAATAAATATATAGATGTACAGATATATAGGTAAATATAGGCGAATAATAGTGGATAAAGAACACAAAATAATAGCCATTGTCAAAATTAAAATATTAATTATCTTTCTTTACCTTACCAGAACCTGCTGCACCAAGAACATACACTAAAAAAACATTTCTTTGAACCTTATTCGCTTTCCTATCCAACTTCCTTGGTCTCGTAACTTTCAACGCCTTCCTAGTATCACCTTCAAATCCCAAATAAGCTAAATACGATAACGTGGTTGTATGATCTAGTAATGTTGTCATTTTATATATGTAATTACACTTCCTGTGACATATTGTTTGACTGTTATTATTAATTGATTGAAAAAGCAACAGCTCAATCATTAATTAATCGGAAAAATAATAGTTCTTCATTTATCAAAGAAATTAATAGTTTTGTTAACCAAAAAAGGAATGGTTTATTGTTTGCTAAGATATAATTGATAAAAAAAAACAATCATTTGCTCTTTCATTAATTGATCAAAAAGGTAATAGTTCTTTAAAATATAACAATTTTACCTTGGTATAATAGACATAAAGACAATAATGCTTCATGATCATAGAGAATATAATCATAATGCAACAACTTCGTGAAACTGCAAATTCCTTTTTATAGATAAAAAATTACCATAAAGACATTAAATCATTTTTAAAAAAAAATCCAAAAAATCAACAATTAATCCTGAAATAGAGATTGAACATTGTACTGGATTGATTTTGTTGATTTCTTATGTTAAAAAAATTTTTACAAGTAAAAAACTATATTTACTTACAAAGATATGAGCTGTTAAATTTGTTAGTTTTCTGCTATTTAATGAGTGGTCCTGGATTGTGGGTATAAAATTCATACATTTAAACATACGAAATAATTAGAACAAATAAATAAAAATGGAGAAAATTCATGGTTAAGCATCGATTTATTTGACATAAAAATTTGGTTAGGAATTATTATCTATGCTGGATTATTTAAAATGCCATCAATTTGAGATTTGTGGAACAAAAAAAAAGAATACCCAATACATTCTATTGCATCATATATGAGTATTAGAAATTTTGAAAAAATTAAAAATTTTTTGCATATTTCTGATATAGAAGAGAATCATCCATTTTGGTATTCAAAAGTTGAACCATTAGCATCCCACATAAATATGATATCACAATCAATTTATGTACCATCATCTAATATTTCTATAGATGAAATGATTATAAGGTTTTGTGGCAGAAGTGCACATACTTTCAGAATAAAAAATAAGCCAACACCAGAAGGGTATAAGGTTTTAGCTTTATGTGATGCAGGTTATACTTTTTCTTTCATCTTTACCTCTAGAATTGAAAAAGATAATGAAGTTGAACAAATTAAGAATCTTAATAAAATAGGAAGTCAAGTTTATCATTTAGCTTCCAAATTACCTTCCAATAAAGCATTCAATATTTATATGGATAATTACTTCTCTAGCATCACATTATTCAAATTTTTACGTAGTAAAGGAATTGGTGCTTGTGGAACTGTTCGTACTAATTCTTCAAGATTTCCACCAGCTCTTAAAATAGGAAAGAAGAAATTAGATTGGGATACCCTCTCTGGTGTTGTTGTAGATAATGATGTATTGGCAGTATTATGGATTGATAATGGTCCTGTCACAATGTTAACCACAATACATAATATAGTTGGTTTTGAAAATAGAATATATAAACTTTGGCGCTGTCCTCGTAAGACTAGTAGTAATGCAGTTAAAGTAAAAAAAGTATTTGGTAGTAAAACAAAAAAATTATTACCAATCCCAAAGATAATTGATGATTACAATCATCATATGGGAGGTGTTGATATTGCAGATCAACTAAGAAGTTATTATTCCACTCAGCAAAAAGTTCAAAGAACCTGGGTGCCAATATTTTTCTGGTTATTGGATACTGCTATCATAAATTCTTATTTAATATACAAAAAAAAATATAATAATCAGATTATGCATAAAGATTTCAGAATGAGTATTGTATGGGATTTAATAAAAGAAGGATTAGATAGGAATACTGGTCAAAGAGAAACTCGTTACCAATCATCTTTTTCATCATCTTCTCACACAAGACAAGCTTACACTACTTCTAAATCAACTCTTCCATTGGAAAGATTGATTCAAGGAGATCATTTGCCTGAGTATAGAGAAAATAGGACTAAATGCGAGTATTGTAAATATATGACACAAGAAGAAGAAGGAAAGTCTACAAATAATGAAAGTTGTTCATTTATATTTTGTACTTTATGTAATGTTGCTTTATGTTTAAACTCGAAAAGAAATTGTTTTGTAAAATATCATTGTAGTGATTAAAAAATAAATTTAATTTTTATAAATTTTACACAAAAATAAAAAATATGTACATGATTTTCAACACATATTAAAATGAAAACCTGTATTGTAAACCGGATTTTTTTTTTAAGTAAACTTGTTTATTAGAAATAGTATTTTCACATAGTTTACGGTTTAGACCAAATAATCAACGAGTAAAAACTTTTTCTAATCATAACTATTAAAAAAATTAAAAATCGGGATTTTTTTTACAATACACCTTTTTTTCATATCAATTAAACTCTCCCCCAAAATATCAATCAAATAAAATGGTTTATATGTATAAATTATACCTTTTTGTCTATTTAGAAATCAAAAAAAAAATGGGGAACAAATGATAACTTTTTGTTTAGATGGGGTCTACAAAAATTTGAAATTTTAGACCAAATATGGTCTAAATTTCTGTTCGTTTAAGGGATAAAAGGACTTGGTTTTAGACCAAGTCAGAAGAATTATGTTCATAACAATCTTTTAATTATTGATCTAATAATTAATATTTCCTAATACACTGTAATAATAATATTATTATCGCTAATAAAACACATAACATATTTTACCCTGAAAATAATAACCTTTAACTATTTAATAAACCACAAAGGGGAAACCTTTGCGACCCATAGCAGTTGACCAGTATCTTAACTATCAAGAGACATCTCAAGGGGACGCCTTTGGGATATAATTACATATATAGAACCTAGGGACCCTTTTATCTGAAAAGATAAGAGTTATATTTTTATTAATTTTTGACCGTAAGTCAGCGAGTAGGCTGTGTGTCAAACACTAGAATCAACCGTAAGTCAGCGAGGAGGCTGTGTGTTGAACCATAAATAACCTATTAAATAGGAAACTCAGATTGCCCGCTCGCAGTGTGTATGACATACATGTGTTTTAAATAAATTTATATTTTAATTAATTTGAATTTATGCATCTTTAAGTAAAAAAAAGTTGAACTAAAATTGCATCCAATTTACAAGATGCATTAGATTATGTAGATAAATGATAGCAAATTAATGATAACATATGTTTGAAAATTTTTATTTTGCTAATTTACCTTTGAAATCAATAGCTTCTTTGTTAAAAAATAAATATATACATGAATTAGTACTCCATACTTCATATTCATCTACTCATAAATTTTTATAAATATCTATATAGTTAATTAATGTCATGTAATCATAATATTCACATTAATTTTTTATGTCACTGATTCATAAACAACTTATCTTAGACTGAGAGCCATTTCCAAATTGTTCACACATTCACTGATTAACCAATGTATTCTTCATGTTTCTGCTTTATCTAATACTTATTTAATATAAAAATTGCTTATAAGGTAAACTCCTTCAAACACTTGATCTGACTTGATCTGGAAATTTTGAAAAGTCAATGAAAGTATAAAGAACAATATTAATAATAATAATAAACTTTCTAAAATGCAATCAGGTGAGTTATCATATGACTGATTAATATATATTTTTATTATTATTCTTTGATCAATAATAAAGGGTACAACCCCAAAATCCATCCGGATATGATGAATTAATTATTAATACTATTTCTTTAAATTAAAGATGAAAATCATTTTGATGATAATCATCATCCAACACAAGAAAAAAAACTATTTTTGATAACATCCACCTTTTTTTTTTTAATTTATGCTTCCCAAAAAATTATGTTTAGATAAAAATTTTGTTTTCACCAACTTAACATTAAATATTAAATATTAAATATTAATGTTGAATGTTGAAGTTTAATATTTAATGTTTAATGTTTAATGTTTAATGTTAATTAAGGTATCTATACAACGCTTTTAATTTCGTGAAACAGCAAAATCCTTTTACGTAAATTATTTATTTTAAAAAAAGTGAAAAAGTGAATGATCATTCCTGAATCAGATATTTTCATTCCTGAAATGGATAATTTTGTTACACCAATTCAATTCTGTTTGAAATATTTTAATAAAATAAAAAATTGGTTTGTTACACGAGTAAAATTTTCTATTTTATATATGTAATTACACTTCCTGTGACATATTGTTTGACTGTTATTATTAATTGATTGAAAAAGCAACAGCTCAATCATTAATTAATCGGAAAAATAATAGTTCTTCATTTATCAAAGAAATTAATAGTTTTGTTAACCAAAAAAGGAATGGTTTATTGTTTGCTAAGATATAATTGATAAAAAAAAACAATCATTTGCTCTTTCATTAATTGATCAAAAAGGTAATAGTTCTTTAAAATATAACAATTTTACCTTGGTATAATAGACATAAAGACAATAATGCTTCATGATCATAGAGAATATAATCATAATGCAACAACTTCGTGAAACTGCAAATTCCTTTTTATAGATAAAAAATTACCATAAAGACATTAAATCATTTTTAAAAAAAAATCCAAAAAATCAACAATTAATCCTGAAATAGAGATTGAACATTGTACTGGATTGATTTTGTTGATTTCTTATGTTAAAAAAATTTTTACAAGTAAAAAACTATATTTACTTACAAAGATATGAGCTGTTAAATTTGTTAGTTTTCTGCTATTTAATGAGTGGTCCTGGATTGTGGGTATAAAATTCATACATTTAAACATACGAAATAATTAGAACATGTCCCAAAAGAATACTTTTGCAAAATTTATCTTATTAATAATATTATTATTTATTAAATATAAATTTATTCCACAATGGTAGCTACTGACTTTATTTATTTTTACTATATTTATTTATATTTAAAAAAACAACAACAGTAATTGTTAAATAATAATAGAGGGAAATTTATGATATTAATTTTAACACTATCACAGGTCAAAAAATGGCAAAACAGCTATATTTAAACCAAGAATTATAACTTAGATTGACAACTAGTTTCAGAATTTCACACCAACTTTAGAAGCATGGTAGATTTTGAATGTTAAACCTGGGCGTCCATTTTTCTGGTAACTTTATGATTATAATTGAAACTATTGACTATTTTTGGTAGGCTTGTGAAGCAGTTAAAAATACACATAATGCATAGTTTTGGAAATTGTATGACCATTTAATGAAGCTTTCAATGAAAGATCTGCATGATCTTAGCCAATAATATTTGTTTGGATCTTGGATAAAAACAATCCTAGATTATGTAATTTTAGAAATTTTGGAGCTATAACCAGAAACTCAAGCTTGTACAAATCTACATATAAAATATTGTGCTATTTCTGCAGTGGTTCCAGGTCATGGACACTAATTGATTTAACAATAAAGTGGTACAATGGATTACAAGTTGGGCTGCTTAAAATATTCTGGTTTGTTCGTGACGATACCTATAATTTAATTATAGTTTCTTACTATTACTATAAAAATTAGCAATCAAATGATTTTCTTTCTTTGCGCAAATACAGAGCATCATTCAATTCCTAATATTCTTAGGATTGGATGGTTGTAACAAATATGAAATATCTTAGAGATGCAGTAAATCAGAAATATCCCAAGACTTTTACTAACGTTACCGAACTGCACATCACTAAAATTATACCTACCACTCTATTCACCCGAAGGTGAGATACTGGACCGGGTGGGTAATTAACATTGCTTCCCAGGGTTGAAGTAAATTCTCGAAGATGCAATCTCATTGTAACATTTCCATTCTCCAAGAGTACAGCTTGCGGCGACGCAAACACGCTACTTTGTTTCACTGATGTTTCAATTACATTAAACCTTGACCCGTTTTGCATACTTACAACATGGTATGATATAGTAAGCTGGCGCTCACGTCATTCATTGTTATTATTATTGTGAAGAACTATGCGTTTGTCACCAACAGATGTTATTTGATAAATCTGTACTTTTATGCAAGCATCAGATTTTCCAGAGATAAATTAACTTGTAAAATTTAAATAATGATCCATTTAGGATGTTAGAAGTAATAGATGCAGTAGTTGGTTTTTTGAAAGAAAACAACAAGATGATATTATGGGCACGTTCTACCAAGCTAACAACAAAAATATAAAAGAAAAAATGACAATACATGTAACAGACTCGCGAAATATTACGATTATTAATAGTCTTGTCTTGAGTGATATTTTAATTTCCACAGCTACATAGTAATGATTGGTTTAAAAGAAGATGCAATAACAGAAGCAATGTCGGAAGTTCGGTTTATTTAGTATTAGAGAGAGAATAAATTAACATTTCTTTTTCCACCAGTTCTGCAATTTAATTAAGTAAACATCAATGATACCTAGTCTTCCGCAATGTAGGTAGATACTGAATATGAAAACCTATTACAAGGTCGGCTTCATAACCTATCAGGATCATCCACCGTGTCATACGGTAATATTTTCGACAAGCAACTAAGTGGATCTCACAGTTCCACCACTAACCTCAGGGCACAGGTGTATGATTAACGCCTGTCTGTTAACATCAAATATTTCATTAACGTAACGAATTATGTGGTATATGATAGAAGAGTTTCTCTCTCAAGACTATAAAGTCACACTATTGTGGTAGAAGCATTTCCCTGGTAGTGAGGATAATGCTTATTATGATAGAAGCGGTCGTGATGATGGAAGAACTCATAATTAATATCATCCGGCTAGATTTGACAATTATACTGGATAATTATTAAAAAAAAAAATTTTTTTTCCAAAGCATGCAGAATTTGAAGATATAAAGATGCGGAAAGTACTCGTTATGATAAATATCAAAGGTGTAAAATATATTTATTTTTGGATTTAGAAAGGAAAAACCGATCAATTGTCAAATGACGGCGATAATTACAATAATTCTCACAACTAATTGCATTAACCAAACAACACAAAACCTCTAGACCGATTAACTGATTTATATGATATTTAATGTTTTGTTATGTTTTTTCACATTACTATCACTCTTAATAAGAATTTAGCATGTGAATACGGTTTAAGGAATAAATACAAGTTTAATTTTAAAATTTATTTGTGAATGAAATTTTTTTTTTACCAGTTTTATGATAATAGTTCTTACAGACATTGCACTTTTTCGTTTTTAGAAAAGCGAGGATAATGACACCAGGTTGATAAGCTACCTGTCATATTATATAATTTATTATGTAAAGCTTTCAAAATAAAAAAGAAGTTAGTCGATTCATTGTTCTTAATATTTGGATGATCTACAAATAACCAGTTAATTGGTGCAAACATATTGCCGAGTTGTAACCTATTGTTACAACACCTATATGACGTGAAAAGGTTGTAACCCTTGCAGCTAAATGCCGAATGGCCGTATGCCGTATTTTTGTGCCGTATGCCGTATGTGTCAGTCATATGTTGTGCCGTATGCAAACATAACTGCCGTGTGCCGTACGTTATGCCATGTGCCATATGTTGTGCCGTATGCAAACGTAAATGCTGCGTGCTGTACGTTGTGCCATATGCCATACGTTATGCCAATATGCTGTATGAAATAATTAACACAAATTTTTATTTTTCAAATAAATATTAATCATAGTCCAACTATTTATATTAGTATCATTTTCATTTACTTCATTATTATTATTAAAAAAATTAAAATCAATAATGTCTCCAATTATTAAGGTGTTTCTTGTCCGAATTGAATTATCATTTGAATTAACATTATTTAAATAATCATTTTCTGATTCTAAACTCATTAAAGTACCAACTGATGAATCATTTGGTACATTTCTTAATTCATTGCTGGTTGAAGTTTGTTTTTTTATAGATGAAAAAGGAGGTTGGAGAGGAGGACTTTCATAAAAGGTATGTTCATTATTCTCTGCATCAGAAGTTACATTGGTAATGGTGGTCAAATTTTGTACTTGTTCATTCATTGATAAAATAATGTTCAAATTAATTATCAATATTAATAGATGATGATGATGATTCTTTTATTATTGGAGAAGTGTACTGTATATATAATGAAAAAAACATTGAATGATTAATCATCAAAAACAATGTTTTTTATTATCTGAGTCATATAGACTTGGGATATTTTATTCTTAAAAAAAACCGGTTGATAAATTTTTTGATGTGACATAAGCTAGGGTTACGGCATTCGGCACATGACACAGCATATGGAAAGTGACGCTGATGTCGTAACCCTCAAGTGTTCATATGTTTGCACCCTTAGTTAACCACAAATCTCAATTCTCAGGATTTTTTTTTTAAATTATAAAAAAACAGTTAAACTGATAACATAATCAGGTTGCTGAGTCAGCATGCATAGTAAATAAATATGATAATATTAATATAGTAATAAGGATTATACGGTAGGGATGATCCGGCATTGATTTAAAGATATTTGAATCTATCAAATCACGAAAACATCGTCAAAGTGGTCAATTATTATTCGAACAATTCTTTCTATAATAATAATCATTAAAATAAATAAATGGACTTTTCCAAAGATGCTTAGCTATCAGGTAGATATGAACTTTTTTTTGAACTTGCCCCATTTATCATGAAATGTATGAGTTCCGTGATTGGCACTAGCACTGCTAATAATAATAATAATACACATATGGAATAGGATCGCTGCGCCCAAAGATAACAGCATTTGGTTTTGTTTCTTAATGACCACGGTCACCGGCCCGAACGTGTTAGGTGGGAACAAACTTGTCAGGTAATTAAACACGAAAATAAAGTTTAAACAAATTTCAAATTACTACATGATCATTATTACATTGGACAACACATGGTTCACAATAATAAACTCGGATTCGATACTAAATATACTTATTTGTTCATATATGGTATAATCACTATAAATGATAATGCCGTGTTCCCGATTTAGTTGTACAAAAAAAATTTAATTAGACAAAAAGCTTGAAAAATCTTTGTCCTTGGCATGTGATAAATGGAAATGGGTTAAACGATCACTCGATTTGATTAAATCAGGGCCCCGAGCTATTCTTTATATAGGTCAAGTAGTTTTTTTTTTTTTTATAACAACCAAGCAATTTTTTCATCTTTACCTTTGAATTTAAAGTGAACAATATTAAGAGAAATGAGGTTTCACGAACAAAACAATCAAAGATAAAAATAATTTTCTCACAATTGATCTCCATCTTTTCTTCGAAATTGCTCTTTGGTCTTCCTTTTAACGATTTAATTGATCCCTTCCCGCCTTATTTTCTCATTCGATTTAATATATACCTTTTTTGGTAATAATATAAAATCAATTCATGTTTAAGATGTTGTTTGCTATACTATTTGGATTAAATTTTTAAAAAAAACTAAGCCATTATAGTAATGATCTACTACACATTCATTCAAGAGTTGAATCTTTATTAGCAGGTTGTTTCAGGTTGTTAAGAATAATATAATGAGTATATGGTCAACGAATCATCGTTATCAACAAAACAACAATATTAATATCTCCATCAACAACTTTATACAATAACTCGGCTTTGCCATCAAAACCTATCATCGTTATCAACGACTAACGTACTGTATGTAAATCGAATTTTAGAAGTTTCGTCTTGTAAGCCTCCATAATATCCAAATTATCCTGTAAATATTGTAGTTATATCTGTAAATACCGTAAATCTTTACACTGGTGAATGTTTGATAATAAATAAAAGAATAATTTAAATATATTTATGAAGTGAAATGCAATAATACCCCCAAAGATTCGCAATATCTGTTTTTATATTGAAACTTAATATAACTGTAAATACTGTAGTTATATATCTGTAAAATACTGTAAATTTTTACAATAATTTAAATATATTTATGAAGTAAAATGCAATAATACCCCAAAGATTCGCAATATCTGTTTTTATATTGAAACTTAATGAAAATACGAATGTTATGTAGAACAATCTATTTTATTGCATTTATTGCACTTTTTTAATGACCATTTTTAATATATGTGTCTTTACATTAAATAGATAGTCTCGATACACATATAAATCGTGTAGCTGCTATTGGCTTCCAAAGAGCAGAATCGCTCGATTCTTTATTCATAATAAAAATTATTTGTCTTGTTAAGCTGCGAACAAAAATAATACATAAAAGATATGTATATATGCTACAAGACCAACTGTGCGATAAACAACTAATTTGTACGTTATAAAAAACTTTGTAAATACGAAATTTTATTTTTAACTATGTACATAAAAAAATTTTTGAAAATTAATTAAAAAAAATTTATGATTTATGAATTTTTTCGATATGATTGTTTAAACATTTTCTAGAGCAACATGCCACTTTTACACATTTTGGGCACACTAATAACTTCCATATTTCTTTGAGATCATTAGCACTATAATCACATTCGCAACAAACCGGATCTATAATAGGAACCTTTTTCTCCAACAAACGATAATTTGTACGAGCTTTTTTGATCAATTTTCCGGTCAAGTTGTCGCCACATTTACCGATTATTTCGATTTCTTTATAAGTTTTCAATGCCGAACGATAATTTTCGTCCAGTTCGTGTGATAATGCTATACAAAACAGTATATTGATACGTATGGCCTTTCGTATTTCGTTGTCTTGGTGAAATAAAAACTTGGAAAATTTGGCATCGTTCAGAGTAAGATCTATTTGGGTGATTGTTCTGATGCCATAATTCCAAAGTCCTTGGTCCTTTTGATACGACAAATAATTTTCATATAAAAATGTTATCCCCACCATCAATTCTAACAACGTTTGCAAGTCCCAAGAAGATGAAGGTATATTGTTAATGAATTTCAAGGCAAGAAAATAATAAGCTGTGGCCGATTTATAATCAGGAATGATTGAAGGTGATTTATTATTATTATTATTATTATTATTATTATTATTATTATTATTACTATTACTATTACTATTATTATTATTATTACTATTATTATTATTATTGTTATCAATATTGTCAAGATTATTGTTGTTATTATTTCCTAACCCTAACGAATACATCAAACCTAATCTCGTTGCGGCATTTACAGAACCAAATTTTGTTGCTAATTGTAAAAGTTCGATTGACTTATCGAGTTTACTTAATTTTAAATTTTCGTCCGAATCCTTCAGTAGCTTTATCACTATTTTAACAAATTGATTTTCATCATCGCTAATAATGGGGTGGTCCAACATCGATATTGCTGTGATATCAATTTGATCATTTTTTTGCAAGTTTGGCACCAGGCAAGTGGTTATTTCTGAAAGACCATTTTTAGAAGATTTGATATCAAAATTATTTTCGAGGAAAAGTGGAATTGAGGTCACTTGTCCCATATTATATAATTTATTATTATTTAATATTATTTTATATTATTTTATATTGTTAATATTTATTATATTATTATATTAATATTAATATTAATATTTTTTGGGGAGATAAAAATATAAATAATTTTTTGAAAAATTATATTTTTTTTTTTGTCGAAAGAAAAACACTTTCTTTTTATATTGGAAATTCTTTATTTATTGTTATTTCGATGTTTCTATTTTGTTGATTTTTATTTACGTATTATTATTTTATTTATATTTTATGTTTATACTCTTAAATTATTCTTAATTTATGTTTATATTTCAGTATGAAATAATAACTAATGCATTACCATTCTAGAGAGTTAGATTAGATTATATGCGAGTATATTACAA